TCGGTTCCCAGTTTCGAGAGCTTCTATTGCAAAATTATATTTATATTGCAAAAAATGGCGTTGACTAATGTTTGCCTTAACATCAAGTCTATTTAATCTCGTCTCCCGAACTTGGCAATATTTAAAATAGTTTACAAGTCGTATATTGGATCTAACTGTCTCTGAATGTTTTTCGCGTTGTAAACCCAAAACCTAAGTTTTGTGTAGTTTTGTGTGATAACTTTTATTTTCTTGTGGTGATTCTCTTCCTGGAAATGAGGGGAAAGAAAAGGGTAGGGTTGTCTTAGGATGCCAAATTTAAGGCTGACATTCTCTTGTGTGTGTGTGTGACGCAGTGTCATCCATGCCCCCTCCCCTTCTCGTCCGCAAAATGCCGTCGACGGGAGGAGGAAAAAAAAATATAACTACCTCATACGGATCATGTGTTGGCTGACATTTTGGTGCGGCCGCGGAGTGCTGCTCCTCCTGAAAGGTCGCTGGCCGAAATTAAATTTTGTAGCGAAACGGGCAATAATGATATAGGCGCGCGTATGGTATCGGAGATGCGTCGGCCGTCGGCCTGCAGCCTGCGAGGTGGGCCGCGCGGGTGCACGCGTGTGCACCGGGTTGCATACCCTCGGACCGACGGGCGCTGGCCCATAGGCGCTTGCACTTCGCGTTGACTCTTGCACATTTTGACAGAGCAGATCGGTTTTTTATTTTATGACTTATTTATTTGTACGTTTGTTTGATTTGGTATCAACTCATCAAACCAAGTAAAATTTCGGAAAATTTAAACAATACTGCTGTTAAAGGAGTCGAGCTGCTAGAAATAAGCAGTTTTTGTTTTATTCCAAAAACATGTAGTTTTGGTTGGAATCAATGATTCCTATGTTAAAGGGCCAGGACAAAGATCGTATTTTCAATAAATGATTTATTTGAATCTATTTTGGTTGAGTCTTATTTTATTGTTCTGACTCAAGCATGCTCATACTCTTCGTGCATTTGTTTAAAACGACTTTTGTTTTGTTTTGCAGCGTTGACTGCCGAGGGCGAGAACTACACCATCGCCAGGGTGACCAGGGAGCACATGGGCGCGTACCTCTGCATCGCGTCCAACGGGGTGCCGCCATCTATCAGCAAACGCATCGGCCTCACTGTGGAATGTAAGTACTCTGCGAACAATAGATCATTTAACTACTTCAACTCCAAATCAATCTGTTTTTTTCCGACACCGCTTGGCCGCACGATATTTCCCCTCTCGCTCGCTGTGTGCGGCGAGCTTCCCCCCCTCCTAAAACGAAGGCGCGCCCTACTACCACCACCACCACCACACGCTCTGTGTATTGGAATAATTTTACAGACATAAACTGCTGATAGGTCTGGGGGGACGGAGAGCATCAGGCCGTTGGATCGGAAAGAACCGCAGCGAAGAAGGGCGGGGGAAGGAAGGAGGAGCGGAGAATGTCCTTGGCGATTGGCCACGCGATCGGGCCATCCTCCTCCGTACCCACCGCCCTCCTCCCCCCTCGCCTCTCCACGTCGTCGTCGGCCTCTCTAAATTCTCTCGTGTGTATGGAGTCGGGTCGGCCGGCCGCAGTGGGGTTGCGGTGATGACTGCCCCTCCCCTCCCCCGTCTGGCGCGTCCCTTGTTTGCGCGCCACTTTTTGATAATAGCGGCACGCCGTTGAATGTTCATTCCGTCGTGGCCGGGCGGCGCGGGGAGCGGCGGGGGGAATGTTACACCTCGCTCAGATTGGAGGAAGGGGCTTGGAATGTCACGGAGCCGCGCGGCGGCGGCGCGGGGGAAGGCCCACCGCCCCCCACTATACTGGCGAGCTGCTCGGACCAACGAGGCCGCTTTGATCTTTTGTTCGGCGGGGGAAAGCAAGCTGCCGCCTTGTGTGTGTCTGAACCGACACCGCGTCTCGACAAACCGCGAAATGAGGGGAGGGGATGGCGGCGGCGGAGCGGGAGAGATGGGGAGGGGGTGTTAAGACAATGCGGTGAATGGCATAAGCAAGCAGTCGGCGGCAGCCGGCGCCTCGACAATGGTTTGAATGATGACCAAGTTGGCCTCTTCTTTATGGCGCGCTTTTCTTCCCGCTCCGCTCCTCTTCGGCAGTTTTCCTTTTATTTCATAATGACCTCCGCTCTGCTGCGGAATACACGGTGCTTTGGTGGCGCATCATCGATTGTCATGTCTCGCCGCCCAAGAAGAGCGCCGTAAAATGGTTATCCGGTGGGAGAGAGAGAGAAGGGGTAGTCTCGCTATCCCCACCTCACTACGTGGTGTGGTGCGGCGCGAGAGGTGCGGCTCGTCTGGAGCACTAAAGTCGGCTGGAACAGACCCGAGACGAATAGGGCTGTTTGTCATGATTTGGAGCAGACAGTCTCGACTCCGTTGCGACTGACGCGCCGACGTGCGCCGCCGCGGCGAGCTGCTCCATGCGCTTGACACTAGTTTTTTTTTTTCTTATTTGTGTTTGTGTGTGGAAAGGGAGGGGGAATTATTTTGCTTATCGAAATGTCGATTTTACGTACCAGTTCAAAATAGAATATTCGAAAGCTACACGATCAAGTTTCCTTAAAAAGAGTTGTAAAGTTACACAATTTTAAATTTTGATTGTGAGATTTGAAAATTCTTTCCTGCACTTATTGCTTTTTCCTCGACAAGCAGAGATTTGAACTTTTTAAAAACAATCTCAAAACAAACATTAATTGTGCCAGTTGCGTGCGTAATGCGGTCTTTAATTTTGTTACCTTTTTGACAGTTTTGTTTGTATGTTCACTAAAACAATTTCTGCCTTTTCAGTTCCACCGGTGATCGATGTCTCCAAGCAGCTGGTGGGCGCGCGGCTGGGCCGGCCGCTGGTGCTGCAGTGCACGTCGCAGGCCTTCCCTAAGTCGCACAACTACTGGGTCCGGGCGGACAACATGCTCGTGCAAGGTGAGGACCTCGGCCGCCGTCGAGTGGAACAAGTAGTGTGTGCCAAAGGGGGGCGAGACCGCCGCGCCGGCCGCCACCCGCCGCGTACATCTGTAGGGGCGGCGGGGCCGGGCTCGACAATAGCTTCAATCAGAACGGCTTCTCGAAGCAAGCGTTTTGTGCCGACCGCGACACGAATAACAATTCCTTCTCTTCCTCTTCCCCTCACATACTTGCTCTCTCCGCCTTCTTGCGCCCCCGCGCCGTCGCTTTTCGCGCGCAATGAAAACGAGAGCGTCGTCCCTTTGCTTGCCTATACGTTACTTCTTCTTCGTCCGCCCTCTCCTCTTCCTCCTCATGCTTGTCGCGGGCTTCCCCCTGGGCGCCTCTCCCTGGGTCGGCATGACATATGATGATGGCGGCAGACAGTGAGGGCTCCTCAGTGAGATCCAAAGGGACCTTTTACGGAGTGCGGCACGGCGGCGGCGCGGGGGACCTGGGCAGGCCTGGCAGGTTAGTCAACGGCGAACGGCAATACCAAGCCGAGCCAACTAAATGTGTGGGCACAATGAGCGAAAGGCACAAAAAGTGAGAGAGATACCACGAAGTGTGTGTGTGTGTGGGGGGGGGGGATCCAGGAAAAGGGAGGAGCAGGAGAGAAAGGAGCGAGCGAGAAGAATATGTGTTCGTAATGAAACCATGACGAGGGGCGGAGGGTGCATGCGATAGCTGTGTTGTGATACAAGTGTTACAAGTGCTTCCCGTTGTCGAGAGCGTCGCGCGCGGGGGAGTTTGGCCCTTACTGCTTCCCCCGCGCGCCTCCCGCCCCTCCCGTCCGCCTGCTCGCCCTCCCCCATACCGTTCTCGACATATTTCTTTTTTTTTCCTCTTATATTTATTTTGGCTGCCTGGCCTTGGGTAGTCGGCGGGGCGGCGGCCCGCGGCACGGATCCGCTGATCATAAAAAGTTGAATTTGAAGAGGCAACCGCTGCTTGTTTGAAAAATTCATAGGGAACTTGTCCCTTATCCCGTATACAGTATGGGCCGTGCCTAGAAACTATTACTGAGCATGGGCTGAGGTACTTAGGATGCGAAGGGAAGACTCTCGTTCTTGATGCAACTGTAAACTAATCCTTTTCGCGTTTGCAGGACCTGGATACGAGACGGAGATGGTGGAGTCGTCGTACTCAATAAGCATGCGACTCACGATCGAGAGCGTGACGCACTACGACTTCGGGGAATACAAGTGCGTCAGCAAGAACTATTTGGGGGAGACAGAGCAGAGCATAAAAGTGGAACGTAAGTGCCAACTGTCTCTGAACGAAATGTAAACGTTAATCAAAACAAAATCTAGTAATGTGCCAAGAAAATGCTAAAAATCCCTTCTTTACATTGCAGATGTCAAATCGCAAGACACCGGTTGGGGGCCGGCGGCAACAAAGCTCCCCAAACACTCGAAAGGTAAGCTGAGAGCAAAGTTGATCAAAATTACCAGGGTTCGCACCCTTTCTACCCTCGCGTGGACGCAGACGATCGAGCGTCGATACCCCTTGCGCCAACGTAATTACCACGAACGTCGACTTTTCATGAGAGAGGGTGGATAAATTCTTCCGTCATTCTGATTATACCGCGGAAGGCGATACCCCGCGCGCAAGCACGACTCTACCGCCCGTCCACCCCGCTACCACCCCCTCACGCCAGTGCCCCTCGCGCGGAGGGTATTTCCGCGCTCACGACGTAACACATGCATTTCTATGGACACCTAATTGGCGATCGTTTTTTTGCAGGGAAATATCTGGGTAGGCCAGTGAGTGAGAACAGCATCGAAATACCGGACGCGGAGGAGTCGACGTCCGCCTCGTCTCCTGCGGCGCGCGCCATCGCCAATGTCTTCCTGGTCCTCGCGACTCTCCCCGGCGCGCTGAACTACGTCTGTCGGACTACGATGTAATCTGCGGCGAGCCATCTGTGAGGCTCTGACTGGAGCCGTAGCACTGACTGTAAATACACTGTACTTTAAGTTCCCGAGAGGCAGAGAGCTGTGTATCGTGTGTTTCCGTTTCTGGAGGTAGGCAATTTTTAATTTATTTATTTTCAAAGTGAAAGTGTATTATCTACAACGCTCTTTGGCGGTTCGGTTTAAGGCTATAGGTCGGTATCATTCAGATTTCAGTATGCTCTTGATGCCCACTTATAACCATGACGGTATTTAATATGAACGGAAAAATTGCTACAATTATAGCCTATTTATTTTAGTGTGTGAGGTTTAGTTGCGAAACAAATGTATAGAATATAAACTTAAATAACTTTAAGAATTTGTTTATAGTACGGTTTAAATAATAGTGTGCAAACAAGGATCACGACTAGTCATGCTATTGCTCAGATCGCGGAGGACGTATTCCGCGCGGACGTGAGAAATATATTATTTTCTTCTGTCGACCAGTTTGGAAAGGTCACGCTTTATTTAAAGAACTAACTTTGTGTGTTTCAGGGCAATTTTTCCTTTATAGCCTTCATACGGACGTTATATTGGAGGGAAGTTCAAAATCGATATTTACAAATTAAAAATAACATGCGTGGTGCGATTTTTAAAAATTATATGTGAGCCTACCATGATCATTATCAAGTAGATACCCTTACGTTAGCTCATATGTCCTTCGTATTGTGATGTTTTAAGCGTAATAATGTGTTTCTGTGTATAAGGTGTGTATGATGATAGTGCTAGGTCGCTGGACCTGAATGAATTGCAATTGGTATATGTGGTACCCTTTTCGCTTAAGTTGGTGATACCCCGTGAGTGTACATTAGCCTGCTATTGTCTCGCTTTTGAACACGGGGGTTTGCCAGTATTCTGTTCAATCAAATTAATTAAGGCTTTTATAGGTTAACGTGCAGTATGCACGATTGTCTCAATGGCTCTGCCAGCGATGTTACCCAAACGATGCAATACCCCCAGCCTTTGAAGTTTAAAGAGTGAAAAGAAAAGACTAGTCAACATATCAGCCAACCCATTAGGACTTGGCCCCCCTCTCTCCCTTGCCTCAATAATTAATGCTTATTTTATATATGACCTATTTCAATCAATGTCAATTTGGACAGGACTAAAATTAAAGTGCGTGCTTAGGAGTCATCCATGAAGTACGTCTGTGGTCACACTATTTAGTGGGGGGGCGGGGGGGTCCGATTTTAACTTTACGAAAGCCGAGAATACGATCACAGAGTATAGTGTTTTGAGCTCCAGGTTCATCACACAATTTCTTCCACAGCAGGAGAAACCTGTTAAATTAATCTTAAAAAAACAAGTTGTTACTAAGACGTGAAGAACGGGGTTAGGTAATTTGGTGTGGCGGACGTCCGAAAGGGTGCCAGTGCACGAAAACCGGCCGCAGTGGGTGGAGGGTTTTGTTTGCATTGTAAAGAAATAGTTTGCAAGCTTGTGAAGAACTAGTTCAGATCACAAAGCTTCGAAATTCTTTGCAAAGCAGCAAAGAAAATCGGTTGCAATACGAACCTTTTCTTTGCAAGCATTTTGCAATGTGTAGTGTGTATTCCGACCAAACAACAGCGGACGTACTTTATGGGTGATTCCTTACAGATTGACACGGCTGTGGCTGATTTTAAAGGCTTCTACTAGCGAGCGGCTGTTGTCCGAATTGCGGTCACGCCTCAGCAAATGCGTCTTCTTACTGATTCAGCGTTATTATGAAAATCATAAGCCAACATAATCGTGAAGTAAATCAAATCTGAAGGTATGTGGGCAACTGTATATTTCTGTATCCCTGTTACCGAATTAAGATTAGCTGTGTCAGTTTCAGGAAAATTTTTCTTTTGTTTTTATTGTACTATTAATGTACATTTTTGAGATTTATACAAAGTTATAAAGAAGATTGCAAGCATTGCAAGGCTATTCCCTATCCTGGTATATAAATCATGGAACAATTTACTCAATTATAGATGCAGTTTCCTGTCACAAATTTCTGAGTTTAGCCTGCCGAAAAAAAACTGCTAGTCTCTCTCCATTTACAACTGTAAAAAATTATTATGCGGATGTGTTTCATTAATACACTATGCCATTTTGATATAAACTTGCGATATTCTTAATTACCCGATTCGTATTCAATCACATATGGTTCTATTTTTCTCACCGCTCTGACATCATGTGCTGACCCCTACACACCGCACCCAACTTCTTCGATAAGTGCTTCCCTCACTCCAACATCAGTGGTGTGCGCCCTGTGTGGTGCAGCTGCCGCAACCAGCACCCTATGCAGTTTTTTTCACGCCTTCAAGCGAATTGAAGCCTAACATAACACGTTAGAATCTGCTGTCGACTTTATTTCAAACCCTAAGGAAGCACCTAAACACAACCATCAACATCCACGAGGATATGCAAGACACCAGTCGGTTGGCGAGTCGCGAGTTTGTTGACGTGCCCGATGAGAAGGCTGCCTTTGCCTGCCCTCTTGCCAGTTGATCGGCGTCGTATCTTTTAATATCTGTAACAGACCATTTGCATTGTGCCTCCTTTATTGTTTAAGAAAAGGAACTTCAGCCTAAAACAAAGTTTGTCACTAACCTGTTTCTCGGTATTTATCGAGAGTATTGTCGGACTCAGACACGTGTACTTCGTTGTCATGTCTGTTTTCTTTTCGTGAGCCTTTCTTTCCTGTAATAGTATGTAATAATTTTGCATTTACAATTGTTATGGAATTCCTCATTTAAGTACAAATATTTTACCTTTTCTATGTGTAGAGTGTGGTTTTGACGTTGACAGTGGAGTTGATGCCTGAGGTATTTCTGTCGGACGATAGACACTGCATAAAATATGTTTTTGATTCAGTTTTAATAACAATTTTAGTTTTTGAAAACTTACCTTCAACTTGAATTAGACCATCAGTTTCTCCTAAATTGTTTTTTGATACACATTTATAAGAGGTAAAGTCTACCTTTTGAATGTTTCTAATGTGAAGTCTCATTGTTATTGTGTAGTCCTTGTCGTACACTGATGGCTCGTGACGGGAACCTGCTGTGACAATCTCTCCATTTCTCGTCCAGTAGTTGATAGATTTCGGAAAGGCCTCCGACAAACATTCTAAAGTTAAATTTTGACCTTGCACTGCACCCACAAGTTGATTAGGAATCGTTATCATTGGCGGGACTGTAAGAAAAAGACCATAACCACTTTACAATAATGTCTTGTTGAAAAAGGAAACAAATCTTCAAATAATTGAATCTTACAATGAACGATAAGTTTGAGACGCTTGCTGACCGATGGCGGCACTCCGTTAGAAGCTATGCAGAGATACGCAGCCATTGACAGGCGGTCGACACGGTGAATAGTCAGGAGTGGCCCTTCGATACTTTGCTCTGGGATTCAATTCAAAACATGATCAGTCTTCCTGCCTTGAATATAGATTTTGGAATTGTTTCGGTCATTGTAATTACATTTTCAGGTACGCACCTTCGATGCCGTTGCCCAGCTTGATGTTTTTGCCGTCCTCTCTTCTCCACGTTATGATCGGCTGTGGCGAGCCCGTCGCCTCGCAGCGCATCGACACGTTGTGCCCTTCCCGCTCCACCATGTCTGTGCTCGTGTGGAAGTCGTCCAGGATGTTGGGCGGGACTAGTAAGGTAAGGCCATGATAGCATCAACATTATGGTTTCAGGATTAAAAACAGATGATTAAAATGACTTCGCTTTGGATGAGTACGGAAGATGTGCGCGTCTTACCGACAACGTCGAGGTAGCCCTGCTGGCTCTTCATGGGGTCCGTGTTGAGCTGGCACATGTACCAGCCGCGGTCCGTCTCGCGCACCTCCCGGATGTGCAGCTGCCAGGTGCGCTGGTCCGTGTCCGTCACCTTGACGCGGTGGTTCTTGGTGATGACGCTGCCGTGGATCGTGAGGATGGTCTGGGTGTCGACCTGCAGCCACGCCACCTGGGTAGACACAAGCGAAAGTCAGAGTTGAGCGAGACTGTCGCCGCCGCCGCCGCGCCCCTGACCTTCTTGTGGCCGCTGTAACCTTCTCTGATGAAGCTGCCGCCGTCTTGGCGCGCGGCCCGTAATGGCCCTGCTGCGGCGCTCCGTCTCTGTCACACGGGACTGACAATATGACGTTCTGGTGTGTTGTCACGCTATATTCACCTGAACACTTTTTTTTTCGACCTCCTTTTTTTTTGTACCCCAACAACCCCTCTTTTTCCCGTATCGTTTTATAAAGGTCCGTCCCCCGCACCGGCCGCTCCACCGCACGGTATTGAGTGGCGCGGCTCCCCCGCGGAGATACCCATCCATCACGGGACGCACG